CGAAGGACAAAGAGTAGACAACAGAGAGAGAGAGAGAGAGAGAGAGAGAGAGGAAAGTGAATTTCAAATTTCCAAGTTGAATTGTGGCAGTACAGAAACTGGATCAAGCATAAAAGTCACTTCAGCATAAAAGATAGAATTTTGTACACATTAATATCATTTACAAAGTGAATGGATCCGCATTTTCAAGTGGGTGGCCACCCATTACGCTTCTTCTGCATCACTACTGTTAGCACTCGGATCTACGACAGGTAAAGCGACTGGACCATCCCCTTGTATCAATCTAGGGATCACTTTAGCACTGCTTATAGACCATATCACAAACAGAGAGAACCATGATTATCGTACCCAATTTCCTCACTCATTAAAAAATCAACATGAACTGCACCAAGAACAATGTAAACGAAAACCAACTGCATCCCAGGCAAACTGGCACTCACCGTTCAAGAATGAACTTTCCTTCCTTGTATTTCTGAGTCTTTGAAAAGGCGACTTCCTGCACCAGCTATAGAGTTACCAAACCTTGGCCATAAACCCAGTTACCCAAATCTAGCTTTTCACTATCCAACGTTATAGAGAGAAGGGAGAAAGCCTTACATATTTCCAGCCCACAACTTGGAAGCAAAAGTTACAGTAAATGTCTGCAACAATGTGAGGGCCTGTTGTCATCATTTTCTCTTCTGAGATGCCAGTAGACACATTGACACTCCATGATGGCCCCAAAAATAATAGTTTTCTCAGTTAAATATCCAAATTTCCTAAACAAAGTTATATTTTTAATTGGAAATGTGTGAGAAATTCATGCAGTAGCAAGTGATGCATTTTGTACAGCGTGGGATAGGCATTTTATGGTATACGTAAGATAATCATAATTATAGTGGATGAGAGAGAACAAAAATAACAACAAACTTGCCTTTTTAAGAGTCAGGCAATGAAATTAACAACATGCAGTTTATCTTTGTTAATTACGAAATTAATTAGAATAGAGGATTATTTTCTGAGGTCTTACACACGGTTGAAGAGGTATGCCTTCCCATTACGGCTTTGGAAATTCTGACCAAGAACAAGTTCAATAGAAGTAAGAACAAGAGAGAAGAAAAATCTGGAAACACTAGAAATTGGAGAGAGAATTTTATATGAAATGGAACTCACTGACATATTTAAATAAAAGTTCAAAGCAAAGATATAGTAGAATTCAACTGTAGACATACTCCAACCTCAGACAATTTCTTAGAATGTTCCCGTATATCATTTTGTATGACTTATCCTTGAAAATGTCTTTGTTTCAATTCTTTCAATTCTATGATGTAGTAGAGGTAAGCATGTAAATACTACTACATAAATTCATGTTTTATACAAGCAGAAAATTATAGAAAGGCTCTCTGTGTACTATTTCTGACATTACAGTTTACATCGTCTTTCTGACGTCAACAATAGACAGCTGGGATATGTCCTTCCTCTGCATAAAATCTGTAGAATTTTTTGATGCACTGAACAGAGGCCCAACGTCATCAACCATTCCTTGCAGACATGTGACAGTTGGGGGAAACCTTGAAACTGTAGGAAACCCAAATGATATAATAGATTGTAGGTTATTCAACTCTAAATAACCCTGATGAGGGTACTGAGGCTATTGGGCGCTACAGATAGAATTGTATTTGTACCCGTCAATGACTAAGATCTAACCTATTTTACAAACAGGCAACCATATGTTGTCCCAAGACAAGGTAGTCAGTCAAACAAGCCGAAGAGGATTAGACCAAATGCTTAATTGCAGCATATAGTCCATTACTTATGCAGTTGAAAAAGGCTGTGAAGCAACACAGACCTCATGATGGGGCAACTAGTGACTAAGGACCCAGCACCAACAAATTATTCAAGGACCCAACACCATTACCAAACCATTCACCATAACATCCTGTATTCCCACCCACCAACTTGCCATCGGTCCGGTACTCAACCAAGGGTACAAGCACCACATAAGAACTTCCATTGTAAAATCCTCAATCCTCTAAATTGAGACATTCTTTACCTGATACTATTGCACACGTGAAAGGTTTGCCTCAGACTTCAAAAGCTCACTTTTGAGAGCTATTTCACAGCATAGTTAGTTACTAGGATCTCCCAACCATATCTCGCTCCGGAAGCTCGCTCTTGTGTTCCAAGGTGGCAGATCATGCTTCTATGTGATTTATAGACTTTAGGATCTTGATCCTTCCTATTGGGAAATTAACAGTAGATACAAATCCATTTGCATCATATATGAGGGTACATAGGTAAACTGAACCAAGGTTCCACCAACGTGGGATCACAATTCCTTTATAGTGCTAGATTCTACTGCCCGTCTTGCCCTCTTTAATAGGTCATGAGTTCGAACCTTGAAATTCATCTTAATGCTAAGTAATGGCCATTTTGCAGTAGTTAATACATTAACTATCATATAATACATTAGTTGTGTTTTTTTGCTCACACATAATTTCCTATGGTGGTAGACTATACCGACCCTTTTGGGATCTTTAACAGGTCACAGTTTACCTTGAGCTTCAACTCAATACTTATCTTAATACTTTTTATTCAAGAAAGAAGGACAGCCATGAATTATATAATGATCCAATTTCCTGAATTTTTTCATAAAGTTTCAATTTCTTTAATTTTTTAGTACTTAATCAAAATATAAACTACACTCAAAGGAGTATAAAAATATTAAAGTACTATAGAATGGTTGGATGTCTAGCATTTTTTACAAAATTTAGGATTAAAAAATCCATTAATTATTTATAATATTATATTGATTGGAACCCTAGTTAAGTGCACTCGAAGAACTCAATTTTTAACCAGATGGTGCGTGGACTTGTAGAACTCATCATTCAATCCCTAGAAGATGGGATGAACTCAACATACTGGGATCTCAATCCCTAAATTTTGGGGTGTACAGACGGCAATCCCAAACCTACGGACCCTCCAGCCTTTCACAGTCCCTTGCTCCCATTCTGATCCCAGAACCCCATCCTATACTGGACCAGTCCCGATCCCGATCCTCGTATCTATGTTTCAGAGAGTGAATTGAAGTCAGACTGGATGGTTTACTCACTTTAGCTTTTGATAAAAACAACAGGACACGGCAAGTATAATGTTGACCTCATGAATCTCAAGGCAGATAAAGCCATAACATTGCAAACAATCAGAGAAACATCATGATACCTATATCGAATAAGTAGCAAATGACACATATGACTGTTTATCATACTTTAGTTCCTCCACAAGAAGGTCCTTGATGTTTTAGAGCAGGTCTGCTTTGTGCTTGTTAACTTATCATAGTAGCTCAACTGTGAATCCACCCCTTAAATAAGACTGTTCTTACAATAAATACCAAGGTTTCTAACTCCCATGTCTATGGCATCAAATATAATCATAGAACTCAATGTGAAATTCAAGTAAAATGACCACTTAGAACTTGAATGCTGTTGCTGTGTCATGAAAGTTTATCTGGGCAGCAGTAAACGTACATATCACCTGATAGTAATTCGGTGGTGCCTTAACCTTTCGTCTAGTGGTAGATATGCAGCTCACATGAGGGAGGTCAAGGTTCGACCCTTGAACCTTGAACAGAACAAACCAAGATGACTTACCATTTTCTATTTTAATATCATCTTACAAGCTTATACTTGTAAGTTATTCTAGCATATATCTTTATGCTTTTTATCATACCTTTTTCTCTTTTTCAAAAACTAACTGCGATGATGTGCCAGCTATTGGATTGCAAAAGGACGAAAGAAATGAAAGGACGGCGGCGTTGTCGTTGCAGTCATCTGGAGTTTACTCTGTGTCCATCATATAAATATTCAAGGTGGAACTTCCATATGATAGTTCAGCAAGTAATGATAATGGTAAGAAATGTGGACAGAACTCCAATTACGATCATGTCCTACCTTCCATCCGCTGTGCTAGCTACTGTATGGAGGCCATGGGTGAGAATTGTTTCAGGGCAGACCCACTGCTGATTGTACAAAAAAGCTCAACTTGCATGGAATGTTTTGATAATGATGTTCTAAATGTGTTAAAGTATGAGGAGGGATGATTAGCTTGGAGGCTAAGGAGAAGATGCGAACCGTGGAAAGCCAAGGGAACGATGTCACTCGTAAAAACCCAGGACTTGAAAAACATGAATAAGTAAGAGGTAAGCTGAATGAGTATACGAAAAACATACATGAGAAGACTGGGCATGAGAAAGCGCCCAAGACTTGTACAAAGAAAAGGAGAAGAGGCAGTGTCCCAAGACCTGAAAGAGAGGAACAAGGGGAAAAGGACCCCTAACTGCATTTGAACTGAAAATGCTATGGTGACACCCCCAGAATGGTTCAGACAACTATGGGAAATAAGACGGGAGCTCAAAGAAATGAAAAAAATAAAGTAAATGAAGGAAAAAGGCTTACGGTAACCGACATGGGCAATACAACAAAAGCATTAGGCATGAATACGTTCAATTGGAATGTGATACAGATGTTTACGAAAGATAATCAGGTGTCCATGAAACGAAGAGGTAAAAGAGCACAAACCAGCTATAGCAGCAGTTGATGAGTCCAGGGCTGAGGGCTCAACAAAGAAAGTGAATGCCAGTTTCTAGAAGAATTATAAAGTACATTTTAGTAAAACAACTATAACACAGTGTATCTTTATGAATCAGATTTGTCTGGTAGAATATGGGTGCTAGGGGAACTGGAGTTAGGGGTAGCGACCACTGTGAGTGCATTAACCCTTCTGTGTTTATCATAGGTAATAGGTGCAACACAGTTGTTGGAAGCAGGAGCCGGTGCAGGTGCATGGGATTGTCAGTAGGCAGAAGCTCCCTAGTTTCAGACCATTGTCGGAGTGTACTAAAATGAATATATAAAATCTGGAAGAAAAAAAAAGAAGCAATTTTTATATGTTATATGTAGATACGCAACAAACATATCAGGAATATATTTATTTTACATACAAATATGTTTTCTCATGTAAATTTCAAAACTCATTTATTAATTCAAGTGTCATCATATAAAAGTTCAGCATGCAAGATAAATTTATAAAGACATGAATATATTTCAGTCACAATAGGTCTTGCCCTTTCTTCCCCTACCCCTTTATTATATATTAAGAAAGAAACTAAAGCATACTTAGAAAGATAATAAATATAGAGCAAGAAAAGATGAATTTTCGTCCAAAGTAACTAAACTTGGGCCACCATCCCTTCTTTAATGTGATTATGAAT